GGCTCAGCTTTCACTGAATTAGTCCATACCAAGGGAAGTGTAACACAACTACATGATGTAAAAGAATACACAAATACATTTGAGAGTACAATAGATTCTTAGAAAAAGCCAGAAAAATGAACCAACCTTCATTCTTTTTGCACTCAACTGTATATAATCACCCAGAGTCGACTTGTGAAAAAAAAAAAATTGAATGGAAAGGAATATTGTTGTAAAGCAGGTTGGTGTTGGATCGAAAGAAGTAAGTACTCAACGCTGCGAAAAGAAGTCTGCATTCGGTTGATGCCGGGAATCACATACAGGTGTGGATTCTCGCTGATTTTGTCCTCCACCATCAATATCTGCGGAATGGTGCAGAGCCGGTTTTCACTGGGCCTCATCCGTCGCTGCCTGAAGTGTAGTGTTTGGAAGTCCGGTCTCGTGACTGGAAAAAGACCGTAACCAGACCGGACCAAGACCGCAAAAGACCGGACCTGCGGTTACGGTCTTTTATTTTTGAAATGTAAAGACCGCAAAAAGACCGGTTAACGTGAACCGGTTTGGACCGGTTTGGACCGGTCTTTTGTAGCCCCTTAAATACCCTTTAAAACGCACCCAAGAACGTATGATTTGGTAAAAAAACGAGAGAGATATGAATTAAAATGTAAATTACTTTGGGGAATAATAGATGTACCAGACTTATTTTATAGAAGCACCAATTCCTAACGGAATTTAACGTTCTTGGGCTCGTTTTGAAGCTATTAAAAATGTTAATAAATTTACCGATTAATAATTTAAAAATATTGGCCTAAAGACCGGTCATAAACCAGTTAAAACCGATGCAGACCGAAACCGGTCTATAGACCGCAAAAAACCGCGGTCTGCGGTCTTTTTGCGGTCCGGTCTGGTCTTTTGACTTCTGGGGAAAATGCAGACCGGTTACGGTTACGGTTAACGCCCCTGGGCATCAAAAAACCGGACCGAACCGGACTTTCAAACACTACTGAAGTGAATTATTTTAAGATTTCACCTCAAACTCAGTGTAGGGCGGGAGGAAACGGCAAGGAGCTTAGTGCCTTGTGGAAAGTTAAATCGGACGGCGAGATTCAGTCGAGTGGTTGAATGCTTGACTGCAGGTGCATATTCTACAAGTTTTTAGATCATCGTTCCAGAGTGGCGTCCATGGCACCCATATTGTTATTGAAGATACAATCATGTATACATTGGGTGACTTTCTGTAACTCAAATTTATAAAAATGAATAAATCTGACCCTTATCGGAGTTTGAAATGAGAACTTCATGCGATAGTTTGTTGGAGGGCTTTGACAGTAGAAATTTTCAGTACACTTTATAATCTGAACTTGGAATCTGTACCTGAAATTGTACCAAAAGTGAACCTAGGAAATTTTATTACAGAGTTCACATTTTTCATCAAGTACAGATTATTTTGACAAGTTCACATTATATTTTGACTACAATTTATTCAAGTACAGATTACTATTATCCCATGTTCAGATTATTTATGAGTTCACATGAGCCCTTCATCTCACCTGACTTGAAAGTTGAGCAACATGAGTGGCACTTGCCACTTATTATTGTTCCATCTTGCGCCATTACTCTTAAACTCTAGATTAATCCACCCACACTGCTTTGTCTTCATTCACACTGCTCTCAGGTTCAAACACTGCTGCTTTTCTAACAAATGGCCACACTCCCTGTTGCCGACCTCTTGAAACATCTCAAGAACTATAGGGGCCTCCTTGAATGCTGTACCTGGCTTGATCTGGACTGCTTCATTTGCTTCACCTCAAACATCTGACAGGAGATCAGGTTAGGAACTCTGCCTGGATCTCATAATCCCCCACATTGGCTCACAGTGTATATACATGACTTTTTGACCCACATGCTGCAGCTCAGTGATGCTGTCATTATGCAACTCTGGGCAGGGCTCAAGAACTATGTTTGGTCACTTGACACCCATGTTTCTTCACACCTTACAGATGAGGAAAGGTATCACATGGGCATTGTGGGAGAAAGAGCATTGCATACTGAGAAAAAGTCAAGTGAGTGACTCTATTTCTTTGCTGCTTATTATCAATATAAATAATCAGGTGTTGATAAAGTGTCAAACATGCTCTATCATCCATGCTCATGCTGTCTTTTTTGTCACCACAGACTCAAATATAGCACCCTCTCATGTGTCAAGATTGTCATTTACCAATCAATGCATGGTCTCAATGCAAGGCATGGGTATTCAACCTCTCTTGCTTGCTCTGGTTAGTGGATTTTGAACTGACTACCTGTTGTGTTGTCATTAATGTGACTTTTCAGATTGCAAAATTCACTACCACCACAATTATTACACTGTGGATGGCACACGTCAGTTTTACAGTGGCACACCTATTCCTCAGCATATTCAAATTGAGGACCATGCTTACATCGAGGCAGACTTGTGCAAGCTATTCAGTGATTTTATGCTATCATTCTAAAGGTCATTCATAAGCTCATCAAAAACATGATTCACAGTCACAGAGAATAACGACAAACCTTCCAATACAAAATAGTTACAGTTTGCTTCAAGGCATCCACAGCAATCTTCTGCTGGGTCAACTGGTTTTTATGAGTCTCCCAATCCTTCTGTGTGCAATCCCGGGCATCATAGTGTTCCTGTTGTAGGGGACAATTGAGATTGGCTTCATTGGAGCCACAGTTGGAGTATCTAGGGACAGTTCAGCATGAGAAGGGGTCACTCCAAGAGTGACAGGTGGTTAGTGCTTGAAAGTCCAGTCCAGTCCGGTTTTTTGACCCAAAACGAAAAGACTGAGACCTAGACCAGTCCACACAATTCCTAAAACCTCAAAAGACTGGACCAGGACCAGAAAAGACCAAGACTGTGGCAAACTGGTTACAACCAGTTCAAGACCGGTTTTTCAGCTAAATATGCCATAAATTTTGCAATTGTAAGTCAGTAATTTTATTGACATTCTTTGTAGCTTTTAAAAAAGTGCAAGAACGTTAAATTACGTTGAGAATTGATGTACACTAACTAGGAAAAAAGAATGTCTGGTCATTTTTTGGACAAAGTTGGTGCTGTAACACAAGAACCAAACATTTTCAGAACTAAGCTCTGGTGTATGAGACATAGCTAAGGAGGTGTAGATTGTACATACCAAGTCTGGGGATGAATGAATGAAAACTCAGGATAAGGCAGAGCATTCACTGTGACAACTTCCAAAAATGGGATTTGACAAAATGGGAAATTCTGAATGACTGCAACCTACTGGAAGCAATTCACAATTTGAAGCAGAAATATTTTAAACACTCAATCTCCCTGCTATTGTCATAAGCCCCATAAAGTCTCTGAGATATATAATTCTATAGTCTCCCCAAAAAAGTGAATTTGAATTGATTCCCCTCCTTGGACATTTGCAGTTGCAAATATTGCCCAGGATTGATAGGAGAAGGTATCTATTGTCATAGTATTGTACATATACATAACTATTACTGTTCCATGATCTGATTTGACCACATTGCCAGGAATAAAGCATTTAATGGCTAATAAAACTTCAAGAAACTGTGAAAATTAAGAGACATATAGTCAATATGGTTCCCAGAAACCCTGCTTCCAAGGGGTTACAGTTAATATGGGTGTTTTGAAATGTCCATGCCAAGTGCTTCTACCTATCTCTTGAGTTTTGGGCACAGATGCTTCTCAAATGACCCACAAAGCTCACTGAAGCATGACAGAGAGATTTCCAAATCAGGCCTACAAAGGTATGGGGGTCTCAGATCCTTGTATGAATAGGACCTCTGTTTATTTCCTTTGGATAGTGTTCTTAGGTATGAGAAGTGCCTTGTGAAATATTTTCAGCCCCAATTCACCAAGAAAAATGTCAAGGATTGGTCCAGGACGATTGCTCTATGCAAAATGTACTTTTCTTGGGGACTATTCAAGTTATACCCAGTGTAAATTTATTTGCTATCATATTATACTTCAGGTGTTGTTTAAAGGACATCCTGAGTCTCCATGGATTAACTCAAAAGGGTGGTAGCATTTTTTCTTCTTGCAGAAAAGAAGGACCGATGTTGTAGATACTTGTTTACTTTCAGAAAAACCCTGGAAATTAACTTCTACAGACATCATGCAATGGTCATTTTAACATTTCTACAGTTGAGTGCAAAAAGAATGAAGGTTGGTTCATTTTTCTGGTTCTTTCTAAGAATCTATTGTACCTCAAATGTATTTGTGTATTCTTTTACATTATGTAGTTGTGTTACACTTCCCTTGGTATGGACTAATTTCAGTGAAAGCTGGGGCCTTGAGAAGGTTTTTATTCTGGAGGCCATTTTTGGCATCTGANAAAAAAAAAATGCGCTAACTGGAGAGGTAGCGAGAACATACCTCTGGTCAACCTGAATGAGCCTATCAAAGAATTAGTTAAAAATACTGAGTGGTTATGCTTGTAGAGCCT